TAACGCAGGTTCAAGAGTAAAAAAAAAATAAAAATAAAAATAACAACAACAAAAAAAAGAATAAAAAAAAAGAAGAAAAAGAACCAAATTCACGTTTTTAGAAATAATAATAATAATTTTAAAGATAATAAGTATGTGTGTATGTGTAATTTAGTTGTTTTTAGTTTATTTTTATTTTGAACACTTTTAATGGCCTTTTACGCAACATGTATGTGATAGACGGAACAACAACCGTTATTGGCCAATTATTTATCTATAACTTTTCATATATAATTATATCAAATTAAATTTGTTGTTAAATTGTTTTTTTTTTTATGTTAATTTGTTCGTCAATTTAATTTCAGTTTTTTAAAATTAATTTTTCAAAAATATTATACCGGCTCATGGCGGCGTTTGACTACGTAGTAGACGTGCGGCCATTAAAGTGTTAACACTGTATTGTGTTAACTTATTGTAAAACTTAATAAAAACAAAAAATGAAAATTGCCGATACACATTTCGTAAGTGTGTGTATAATATTTATTTTCAATTTTCGATTTTGAAACCATACATAATCTCACACATGCATCGTACTACGCGATACAACAGAATACAACAACACATGCACATTGTTCGTAGTACTCTACTAATAATATATACACATAAATGAGTATGTATATATATATATATATATATGAAAAAGCGTAAGTTGCGAGAGAGGAATAATAAATAGTCAAAATAAAAAATGGCGGAAGAGGGCAAAAGAAAAAAAAATACAAGTAATAGAAATAGTAATAGAAATAGAGAGAGAGAGAGAAAGAGAGAGAGAGAATGAAGAAATAAATAAATAAATGAAAAATAACAAAAATCCCATAAATGTGTGAGAGTGTGTGTGTATGTAATAATAAAAATCATGATTCTTTTCGTTTTTCAAACAAATTTACAGGTATACTTACAGGTGTGTGCACATTTATATAGGAGAAACAATACAAATACATTAAGTAAATATATATATATTAACACGTGACATTGAAATGAATAATAATGAGAAAGATAAAAACAAAATGGCGGAGGGGGGGGGAGAATACAAGAAAAAAAGAAAAGAAAAGAAAATTAAATTAAAAGGAAATAAAAGAAAAATATTGAAACGTAGGAACATAGAAATGACTAAAAGAACAAAGAATTGAAGAGGAAGAAGAAGAAAAAGAAAGGGTACGAGGGGGATTATGGATGGCAAGGAGAGGGGGAGGGAGAGGAGGAGTCAAAAGTTGTAAGAAAAAAGCACGCTGATTGGATACTAATTATATTTGTTTGTTCCTTTAAAAAGACAAAAGACAAAAAACAAGAAAATAATATATAATTATAAATAAATAAATAAATAAATAAATAAATAAATCAATCAATCAATTAACACAAACAGATAAAAATAAAGACAGTAAAATTGATTGGTTGGGGAGGGGGGTAGTAGAGTGGTAGCAATGGTGGTGGAGAGGGGGAAAAGAAATGGTGGAATAAAAAAGAAAAAAAAAAAAAAAATATACCACCCCCAAACAACAAAATCAAACAAATAAACAAACAAACAAACAGTGAGAGAGAGAGACAAATAAACAACCGAATGAATGAAAGAAAAAAAGAAAAAAAAACTTACTGTTAAATACGAGTAATTTCCTTGTAGATCCGAGTCTTTTAATGGGCGACTTGACACCGTCGATTTCTTCCTCGTCCATATTAATAATTTATGCGAGACCAACAGACACCACTTCTTCTAACGAAGACAACGACGAAAATGACGAAGAAGACGGCGAATACAATATTAACAGTAATATTAACAGTATCAGTAACACCACCAAAACACCAACACCAAAATCAAAACGAACGGTATGCGCTACGGCAACGGAAATAGCAGCAACAACAGTGGCAGCAGGAAAAATCCTTTTTACGTTGCTTTTAATGTCTAATTTTCTCCTCTGTCCGTAATAATTAATGCTGATATTGTCTTCTTCGTATAGATGATGATGATGATGATGATGATGATTGTTTTGATGATTATTACTATTAATATTATGGTGGTGATGATTATAATAATTGTGGTTGTTTTGATTGTGGTGGTTGTTTTGATTGTGGTAGTTCTGCTGGTGATCGTAGTCGACGTCGCGGTGGTTCGCGTCGCGTCGACTCGTCCTCGGAGTTTCTCGATCAAGGCTAAGGGCAAGAGGATAACAAGAGGTTTAGAAAGAGAAAGATAGATAGATAGAGAGAGAGAGAGAGAGAGAGAGAGAGAGAGAGAGAAAGGTGAAAGGAGAGAGAGAGAGAGTATGTTTGTGTATATGTGTATAGTAATAGTAATATCATGCACCTCCGCGTGCGTACCTGCGCGCGGTTGGGCGTACGCGCATGCGCACTTTATGTATATACGATTTCCCCCCACCCCACTCCACCCGACTACACCACCCTCTAACCCTTTCGGTGTGTGTATACACAACACATCACACACGCGTTTTCAAAACGTTTAGGCGCGCATAATAAAATAATATTATCTCCCTTCTCTATTATACGTACATAATAAAAAAAATATAATGACAGATTCTTTTTTGATTTTAACATATTATAAATTAAATAAACTTTTCCTAAGAAAAGTATTATTAAAATATAATAACACGGATTAATTTCTATTAGAATTTGTATAAACGTCTTTATATATATATATAACATAAACGCGTAGAAGAGGGAAGGGGAGGAGCACGCATGGAACACACGCACGCACCAATGCAAAGAATCGAAAAACCGAAATTCTTTGAATTATTATCTTCTTTTTGTTTTGTTTAATAATACCACGTTAATATATAACACACGTATGCATAATACGAAGAAATGTAAATAAAAATTGCTTATTTAATATGAATATATATATATCTGTTTTCTCACACTCTTTCTATATGTGTGTATATATTTTCTTTTAGCAAAGAGAAAGGGGAAACACACGGTTCGTTTATTGGCCTTTCGAAAGATGAAACCGAACCACTCTAAAGTTATATATATATATATATGTTTCTTTCTCTTTTCTTTCAAATTCGTGCGAAAGAGAATTTTAACGGAGCTACCTTAATCGTTTCGACGATGCTGAGAAACTAAACTCTCTCTCGGTGCCAACTCTTACTTCAACGATTCCGTGTCGTGTTGTGTCGTGTCGTGTCGTGCAGTGTCGTGCAGGGTCGTGTTGTGTCGTTGTCGTGTCGTGGTCTCTCTCTCTTCGATGGGAGAGTGCTATGTATATATATATATATATTATATATATATATGTGTGTGTGTATGTGTATATATTTGAGAGAAAAAAAAAGAAAAAGACAGAGAGAAAACTGAAGTGAGCAGCACACACGATTCGGTCGATCGGTTGGTTGAGCCTTCGCCCTACTGTCTTTCTCCTTTTCTTATTTCTCTCTTCTACCCTCTCCCGTTCTTTCTCTTTCTTATTCCCTCTCTCTCTTTCTCTCATAATTGCTCTCCAAGCCAACGAAAGTAGCATGCCATTAGGATGGATATTCTTGGATATCGAGAGATGCTGCGTATATCCTATTCAACTTCATTCGACTATATATATACATATATACTATATCTATTTTATGAATGCGCGCATACTATCTTGCGCATTTCACCGTTTATATCAACTATATATACTAGACGTTGCTTAGCAACGTTCAACCTAAAATTTTTATTCCAACAAATATAATAAAAATATATATATAACATATATATATATATATATGTATATAAATACAATTAAAACAATATTACGAGATTAATGAAATATAAAAAAATCAATGAAATGTTAAATATTATATAAATTTATAGTGATTAAATCTTACCTAAACATTTGTTAAAACACTTAAACTAATGGAACTCACGAGGATAAATGAAAAGAACTGACGCCATATTGTCCCAAGTATTTGGCGCCAAATTATTAACTGACTATTCGTTGATTGGCCAGTTTAACTTCTGCAGACAGAAGTACAGTTTTGATTGGTTGTAATGGATGCATAAAGTCATTTGTCCTAATCGTAATTGGTTGAGAATCATAATCATTTCGTCATAGGCTAATATATTAATTGAATAAAGAATTAATAATACATTATTTGCTCATTTATCGACGTGGCGTCGATTTTCGTTTTTCTTCCCTGTGGGGGCGCTGCGCATAATTCGTGTGTCTCCATCTAGCAGCGCTGCTTTATATCTAATTGTTTCTATTTAATTGATATACGTTTAAATTTGTAATATTTAAATTTTCTATTGAGTATATAGTAATTTTTTTTTTGCTTTTTTTCGTAACTCGATGAAACATTTAAGCGTGAGACACTGGGTGATGGATAAACGACGGTCATGAACGGTGTGAAAGAGGCAGCTTCATTTTAAATACAATTTATATTTCGTTATTCAATGTACAAGATTTTAATTACTTCATCATCGATTAAGAACTTAAAATTAAGTTTACGTTAAATTAATTTAACGTAACAATTTGTTAAAATAGATATTACAATGATCTTATATGATAAAATAATTGTGTATCAATTAAATATAAAATTATTACCAAAATTTTCTCCAAACACAAATTTGACTAAGGCATTGGTCCAAACCCTAAAAAATAAAATCAAAAGTTTTCTTTTGAGATACCATTATTATTTTATTATTATTATTATTATATTATTAATCATTATCATCATCATCGTGAAAAGCTCATTATAAAGAAGTAAACAAGCCCTTACAATAATTAGATGGTGGACCAAATCTATATGCATTTGGCGGCATAAAACGTGGTGGGAAGGGTCTTATAGGTCCTATGCCAGAAGGTGGTAATCTGCCCCTAGGTATAGGAACTTGACCTCTGATTGGCATCATTGGTCCTACCATCATAGGTCGTGGCTGTAAATTCACGAGTTTTAATACAATGTCTTTTTTTTTATATTTGTATCGTCTATATTTATTTACCCCGTAATAAACTGGATAAGGTATCTGGTTGATGTCATATGGAGGTTGTGCCACTTGCCGTCTCTCCCTATACCTACTATCTCTGGACCGAGAACGAGACCTAGATCTTCTTTCCCTATCACTATAATGACTCGTCCTAAGTTTGCTGCTGCTACTTCTGTCTCTTTCCTCTTCCTTATCACTCCCTCTCCGTGATTCACTTCTATTCATAATTTTAGAAAATATGTTATATAATATCGTATGCTTCTTTTAATTTCTACCCCTTTACGCTTACCTATGACTATAATTTTGGTTGGAACAATGATCACGTAGATATTTTTTATAGTCCCGATAAGAATCCCTTTCTACATTTCGAGACGATGATTCGTACCTGTTGCTACTACCGCTTGGACGATCATCATGTTCAATGTATCTTCTTCTACCCCTTTCACGAGATCTTTCTCTACTGTGTCGTCTATGAAAAACAAACATTGCGTAATAACATAAATATAAATTTGTTGGTATTAATACTCATATATTTAATACTTTTTAAAATATACAAAATGTCTAAGATTTTATTTCTGACCAAACGTTGTTGTTTAAGTTTATTCTATAGATTGATCGGTGAAATTATCTCAGACATTTTTATACATTTAAATAATTAATGAAATAAAATTACCTATCAATTTTTTCCCTAATATTACAATCAGATTTACAACTCGAATGTTTCGATTCTATTGACCTATAATAAAGAATTTGAATTAATAATAATATCAAATAAAATTACATTTCTAACATGTTTATGATTGTCCATAGTATATTATCTTTAACAAATAACATTCAACACTTAAAAAAAAAAAACTGTACAATAATTTAATTGTTTTTTTTTTTATTAATATATATATATAAAAATTGAGGTTATTATTTTAAAGTTAAAGCAATTATTATTATTAATTGGCGTTAGTAATTGGAAAGTTCATTGCCGCAACAAATAAATCCCGCCAGTGTTCGCGCTGTCCCTGAGCTTGACTCCTTCGTTCGCGGTTTTCGTAGCCTATTTTTTTAAGATCCCGAAATAATATTGTCCTACCATCTACATCTCGGTCTACCCAGTGGTCTTTTCCCGTTCGGTATATCGATCTGTATTTTATGCGCCGTTCGATCTTCCCCCATGTGACATCTGCATATCTTAATCGGCGTAATTTTACGACGTTAATGATGTCTGGTTTGTTATACAGTTGGTGTACTTCAACGTTATGAAATTGTCTCCATTCGCCCGTTTACTCATTGCGTTTTGCACCAAACATTTTACGATTAACTTTATATTCGAAAACCCTCAATTTCTTTCCGTCCCGTAATGTAAGTGACAATCACGTTTTGCTATCATAAAGGATTATTACCGGTAAGATCGATCCTAAATACCTAAAAATGCTGACCCGTTCAAAAATTTTATCCCGGATGACCAAAGTTCCAATATTACGCACATTTTTGATCGCCTTATTAATTAATGACTCTTTATTGTCCCCTAACAAAACAATATTGTCAACAGTTGCGTTGTCCCGTTCAACTGCAGACCATTTTTACTAATCTGCAGTTCTTTTACAGCAAATTCCAGTACTAAATTGAACAAAAGAGGTGACAGTACGATCCCCTTGTTTTAACCCGCTATGCGTACTAAAAGTTTCCAACACTTGATTACTTATTCTCACTTTATCCCTTGTTTCCTTTAAACAAACTTGAATCAGGTTGACCAGTTTTTTGGGGTATCCCATTTCGTATCAGAATTTCAACTACGTGATACGCGCACCGTTTCGAACTCTTGAGAGACGTTCCCTCATTCTAACAATAACCAAAAAATGATCAGAGTCACAATCCGTCCTCCTGTACAACCTAACATCTAGTACGTTCGTGTGTCGTCGTGATCTATTTGATTACGCTTATTCCCATCCGAAGATCCACGTTTGTTTATATATGGAACCTTTTTTTGTTTAAAATACGTGTTATTGACGATAAGATTTGTTCCGGTCGCGAAATTAATTACTCTTAACTCCGTTATTGTTGCTTTCCTCATGTAGACCCTTTCGGGCCTGATCCGTTGGTCTAAAAATATCCTCTTTACCTATTTTATATATATACATGTTAAAATCCTCTCCCCTCACACAACTAGTTTCATATATTACAATTTTAAAGCAATACTCAATGTAAAATATCCATATATTTTTATTAGGTCGTCCAATAAGTTTCTTTCTATTATTATGCCCTTATTTTGTTTTGTTTGTGCAAATATGCAAGAAGAAGCTTGCTTATCTAATTAGGTCTTTTATGTTATGCTCTTTCAGTTATCCCAGAAGCTCTTTTACAGTACGTTTCTTTTGGATCTTAGTGTTTCTTTTAAAACTTTCATTCACAGCTTTACAACTTTGGGTAAAATGAAAGACGCCATTTAATACAGCATGTAATGTTTAATTGTTTTGAAAAAAAAGGTTGAATAATGCAAAGAATACAGTCGACGAAATGAATTACAACATGTACAATCATTTCCAATTGGTTTTAATAGAATTCAATTGAGAAATTTCAATCTGGAAGATGAATATCGCAGTGGGCTCTACCGAAAAACGACGGATACGGACTTTGTCAAGGCCATGCTTGATAAAAATAGTCAAGAAGAATAGTCAAGAAACATTAGAATTACCAAAACCAAAGCATAATCATCTAACCAAGATGCGATATGTTAATCATTGCGAAATTTGAGATTCCTCACTTTACTTGACAAACATGGCAAACAACGAGAGAGACCACCATATTGAATTTGATTAAAAAAAAAGAAACGTACCACCCCTTCTCGGGATTTATTTTTCTCCTCAAAAAGGATACAACAATTTACAACAACAACAACAAAAGGCATAAGGGTATAAAATAGAACAGAAGGTTAGAAAAAAAAAAAGTTGCTCTTATGGGACGATCTAATATTTTGTTTATATATCCACATTGTTTTTGTTCTTAATATTAATGATTATTATATAATATTATTATTTGTAAATATATTTACATTATATACGGGCTATTATTATTATAACTACCGTATTAATACAACTTACCTCATAATTATTTTGTTTACTCTTTAATGTAATAATATACGCTTGGAATTATTAATTCGTGTATAATCAAAACATTTGCATACTAATGTGCGTATAATATGATGATGATCAATGATAATGGTATGATATTGATTTGATAAATAAATACAATATATATATAT